AATAAATGACAATGAGAGCCAAATGACAGACAACTGTGTACGCAGCTGCGGTCACATTTTTAATTCAGGGAGCATGTACTGAGCTGCACACACAACTTCTGTCTCTCCCGTGGCACGCTCCCCAGCACGCGCAGGTCTAGCCGGTCAGAGGCTACTGGACAGCAAGTCTCTTTCGAGTTGGTTGTGGAAGGTCCCTACGTGGTCAAGAGCTACTCTGTTTACTTCTGGGTGAGGGAGAAGGCATTTTGGTCCATTAATTCCCCCACTCGCTCCTGGAGGACAGAGACCAGCTCGGCCACCACGAAGACATGCGTGTCATCGATGTCCTGAATGATGAACTTCTTCCCCAGGGCGTTGGTCTCATCCAAGTACAGCAGAAACTGCTTCATGGCTGGGTCACATTCTATAAGCACTCCTTTCAAGACGTTGACCATCTTTTCTCAGGCAGAAGATGACGACCTCAGAATGCTCCACCCACAGGCCCAGCTGCGTGCTCCGGCGTCAGGCCCAGCTGTTTCCTGGTATTCTGACCCTGTCGTGGTACCAGGATGCATCTCCCCTCCTCCCTTTTCTTCCCATTTCCATTCCTCCTTTTTCTGTCCCTTCCTGCTCTCTGAGCTTTATTCTTGGACAGATGCTGCCCTTTTGATCTTGTGTGATGGATTGTTGTAAGGAACGCGCTATAAAGGTCCTTCTGTTTGACTGAAAGTTGATCATGGACTTGCCATTCCACCCTTGAAAGGTGACTAAGAGCCATTGTCTTGGGGGTAGCACTATTATCAGACCAGTTGTTGTTGCCTGCTGTCAAGTCAGACCCCTATGTAGCTAACCCTCCTGCGGCTTTTCAGAGATAGTAGATCTCATGGAAGGAGATTACCTGTCTTTGTCCTTTTGAGCTGCTGGTGGATTTGAACCACGTACCTTGGAGTTGGCAGTGTAGTTCCTCCATCACTGTTTGGACCAGTAAGCCTGGTCTGGCTTTTGTAATTTTCATTTGTTGTTAGATGCCATTGAGTCTCAAGTACAACCTGGATAGACCCTGTGAGCAACAGATCTGAGCCCTGTCCTATCCTGTGCCATCCTCACAGTCTTAAATACCCAAGTCCATTGTTGTAGTTGCTGTGTCGGTCTGTCTAGTTTGAGGGTCTTCCTCTCCACCTTTCCAACCCTCCGCCTTCCCAAGCATGAAGTTCCTCTCCAAGGAATAACCTCTCCAAGCAGCGTGCCCAAAGTATGTGTGATGAAGTTTCCCCATCCTTGCCTCCAAGGAGCACTCTAGCTGCGCTTTCGCAAAGATACACTTGTGTGTCTTTTGGCAGGCCCTCAGGTATACAGCACTCTTCTCTATCAGAGCTCAAAGGCACCAATTCTCTTTATCTTCTTTTTCCAGCTCTGAGATGCAAAGCAAGTGATTGAAAAGGCTATATATATGGCCTGAATCAGGCACTCCTCAGTCCTCAAACTTTTGTTTAGTTCCATAATTTTCTCCCGCTTTCCTCTTTCACACCGGTCATCCGTGGTAGCCGGGCATCATCTAGTTCTTCTGCTCTCTGGGGTGTGAACTTAACTCTTTTTTTTTCTCTTTAATTTTATTATTTTTGTATGTGTACCGTCAAATCAGATCTGACTGGTACAGGAGGAGATTGCCCCTCCTTCTCCAGCAGAGCCTCTGGTGGATTTGAACAGTGGACTTCTGAGATTGCAGTGCAGCTTCTTGCCACCAGGCCACCAGAGCTCCCAGAACCTGACTCTTTTTAAACACTCCTTTTCCTCCTTGACTACGTTCCCCATGTGACCTTGGGTCTCTGGCTGTGCACCTTCTAGGGTACCCCCGTTTTGTTGACCAGCCAAAGGCAAACTCTTTGAGCTACCCGGGGACCCCCTGCATCCATGATGTCCGGGTTGTTTGCTTCCTTTTTGGTTACTGTGATCTAGCAAATAGTCTGTGATTATTTCCCTCCCCAGCTCCATGCCGGTTACAAATGCTGCTTCACAGCAGCTCCTTGCACCGTGGGAGGGGAAATTGTCCCTGTGCCTGAAGCCAGAGAGCTCAGAAAACCCCTCTCCTGGCCCCACGTCAAACCCTGAGCTCCAGAAAAACAGAGGTGCACAGTGCCAATTAGCGCCGAGGGTCAAGGCGGTTGACAGCTAAGAATAGAGCAGAGACTTTGGCCGTGAGGAGGTGACCTTCACGATTGGAACTGGAGGGGGGGGCTGGGCGGAAGCCTGAAGGGTGGGGGCAGAGGAGCCAGGGGTGGGCATGAGCGAGTGGAAGTGGCAGGTGCAGACCCTGTCGTGAGGGGAAGGCTGAGGAGGCCTGAGGGTCAAGTTAGGGCACTTGAAAATTAGTGCTCTGCAAGCGCCAAGCTGGTTCCCTCTGGGGTTTCTTGGCCGGGGAGGAGTCCTCAGCAGCTTTCCGGGATGGTGGAAATGTGTCTTGGTTGGGCTTGTGGTTACAGTCCTGTATGCATTTTGTTGGAGGAGCCCTGGTGGTGCAGGGGTTCAGCGTTCCACTCCACCAGTGGCTGCCCAAGAGTAGAAGCTGACCATCCGTGCCGGGAAGAAAGATGGGGTGGCCGCTGCCTTGGCCCCGAAACCCTCTGGGGCAGATCCGCTCTGGCATGTGGTCACCTTGCATCAGAACTGAGGCACAGCGTAGCCCCGGTGGTGCAAGGGTTAATACTTGGCTCCTAACTTCAGGTTCAGAAGTTCATACCCATCCAGCAGCTGTTGTTGTTGTTGTTATGTGCCGTCGAGTCTCCTGCGACTCATAGCGACCCTATGTACAACAGCCCTAAACTCC